TGAGGCATCTTGAGGGTCCCAAATCTTCCAGAAGACGTGGAACGGGGGGTCTGTGCCCCCCTGGAGCCTCCCCCTCCTCCCCACCCCGGTGCTGGGGACGAGGGAAATCAGGGATTTAAGGGAATTTCAGCCTCTCCAGCCCAACCTCAGCAATCCCCTGTAAATCCGCGGTTGAAGCCGGGAGGTAAAAAAACCTAAATCCCAGCCTAAGGAGGGCTGAAACCGAGAGGATCTGCCCCAAAATGCACCAGCAGGCAGGATCCAGCCCCTCCACCCCCCTCCAGCATCCCAGCCAGCTCCAGGGAGGCCTCGTGTCCCCCCAGGGCACCAGATTTGGGGCGATGGGCGACGAGAGAGGGGCAGGGAAGCAGCTGGAGGAGCTGCAGGAGCTGCAGGACAGGCCCCGGGGAGGGGAGGAGCTGCAGGTTTTCCCTGCCAGGGAGCTCTCTCGGCAGCAGGTCTGTGTTCCCCGGGCACGGGGAAGATAAAGCAGCCAGAGCGTGTTGCTTTTATTACCTGAGAAAATTGAAGCGAGTCTGAATATATCAGAGAGACGAGAGGTGACCGGCTCGTAGGGGGAAGCTTCATAAAATTCTTCTCCTGCCGTGGGAGGAGAGAAGGAAGGGAGGGAGGGAGGGAGGAAGGAAAAGCAAATTAAAACCCACACGGGGAATGGTCTCGGCACGGGCAACCCCCCCACACACACACACACCAGCCTGGGATTTGGGAAGGGGGGAAGTAAAAAAGCCTTTAAAAAAAAAGCCTGAAACACGAGGAAAAAAGCTGATTTTGGAGCGGTTCAGGTGGGCTCTGGCTGCTGGGGAGGGGGTGGGTGGGTCCTGCTGCCAGCTCAGCTCCCTGTCCCAGCCGGGGTTGGGAGCAGCTCCAGGAATTGGGGAATTGGGATTTGAAAGGGGATTGGGATTCCTTGGCCATGGCACCCCAGGCTGGAAGTTTGAGGGGCTGTGCTCAGCTCTGGGTTGTTTTATTGTTGTTCCAACCCCCCCATTTGCCTAAAAACCCGCTGTGAGATGGTTTTCCACCCCGTTCCTTGGGAAAACAGGAATATTTCAGTGCAGGGGTACAGACCCTCATCCTCTGAGAGCCCCAGAGCGTCCCCACGCTGCACTCCAGGGGCTCATCCACCACAATCCACACCTTCCAGAGGGAACCTGAGGGGCAGATCCCCCTTCTCCCGTCTTGGATTTCAGGGAAAAAACCCCGTGCTTTTGCTGCGGTTAAACCCCTCAGGAAAAAAAAAAAAGCGCGAATTTCAGGACAACCAGCACGGCCCTCAGGAGAGGAATCACGCTCTTTCCCCAAACCCGGCGGCCACATGAAAAAATAAATAAAATATATATTTATATATATCTGTAAAAATGAATCGATGGCCGGACTTGGAAAGCCCCGGCTGAGGCTGAGCAGCAGCTGGAGCATCGACCCAGGAGTGCTGGGGCATCCCTTCCCCAGGATCCCCGCGGGCTGGGGAGCCGGGATGGAGCCTGCAGTGTCCCAGGGATGCATCCCGGGGTTCTTCCCGGCCCGAGGCAGCAGCGTTTATCCCGCGGGATTAGGGAGCAGCTCCAAAGGCTGCGTGGCCAAGGAGGGACAGGGAGCGGGGCAGGAGGGTTTGCTCGGGTTTGCTCCGAGCCCAGCGGCTCCTCAGTGGCATTCCTTGGAAATCTGGGAGGAGGAGACACCGGTGGGATGCCAGGTGGGATGCCAGGCTGAGCCATCTCCACCTCCTGCAGGGTTCCAGCCCGTCCCCCCGTGCCTGCTCTCCCCAGGGTGATGCTCTCTGGGGGCACAGGGAAGGGAACAGGCTCGGGGCAGCCCAGAGGGTCCTTCTCCAGGCCGTTCCCAGCCCCTCCTCCAGCTCCCCGGGTTTCCTCGTGCTCCGATGACAAACAGCACCTTGATTAAAGCGCGTTTAGGAAGCACAGTAACCTCCCGGTGCATTGCTAAGCACAGTAACCTCCCGGTGCATTGCAATGAATAATTAAACCCCAGTTTGACTCCTGCTGCTTTGCCAGGGAAATTACGGAGCATTAAAAGGGCACTGGACCTGCCTGGAGATACAATTAACCCCCAGGAAGGAGGCTGGAGCCAGAGCAGCCCTCCCCGGAGGCAGGGACAGGGGACATTCCCCAGCTGGGAGGACACCAGCCCCGAAATCTTGGCTAGAACGGCACAAGATCAGGATCTGCTTCGGGTTCCTCGCTGCACATTAAAGCAACGAGCTGCTGGATCGCCCCAGAGCTTCCACCTCTCCCCAAGACTTGGCATAATCACTTCTCTTCCTTCCCACCTCCTCCTCCTCCTCCAGGTACAGCTCCTGGAGTACCCAGCAAGCCCTTAAAAACGTCCCTCATTCATGCTTGCAAAGCCCTGGGAAGCTGCTCAATGAAGGCTGTTAATGAGGGGGAGAAAACAATTAAGAAGTAATTCCTGCTCTGGGACGGGTTTTGGGCTCGCAGCTTCCTGTGCTGACCCAGATTTGGAGGGAACTTCACCCAGGGGGGCTGTGAGCTGGGGCACAGCTCCCCCAGCCTCCAGCACAGCTTTCCCATCCTCAGGCACAGCTTTCCCATCCTCAGGCACAGCTTTCCCATCCTCAGGCACACCTTTCCCATCCACAGGCACAGCTCCCCCACAGAATCCCAGAATCCCAGACTGGTTTGGGTTGGAAAGGGACCTTAAAAAAATCTCCTTCCAACCCCCTCCCACGGGCAGGGACACCTTCCACAGGGACACCTTCCACAGGGACACCTTCCACAGGGACGCCCCGTA